TACCACAAAACTTGCGCTGCGGTCGCTGCTGTCCCAGCCTCTGTGCTGCTGTTGCTAGGATTGTACAATAATAAACAGTTCTGCTGCCAGGCTGCCACCTCACCGCCACCCCAGCTGCGAGGATCACTGCTCCTCTGCTGCTATGGACAGCGACCGCTCAATACCGCACTGTTGCTGAACTGTGGTCCGTAGCCACGCTACAGACACTACAGGACCCTCATGATGTTCTGCTCTGCAGGGGTGATAGCACTCTCCTTTGTGCTCCACAACACTCCTTTTTCACTTGGCCACCCCAACACTACCCTGCTATCAGGCCAAAATTATATGAAACATCCTCCCCACACTCCCTTTCCTCGCCACTTTCCCACTTTGCTGCATTATCACACACACATCCCTTGCCAACTACACCCGTGAGTCACTGCACTGCTCTCGCACTGCACTGAGCTCCTGCCACTGCAGGGCTACTTTAAAACACTGCTGTCCCACTGTCCCACATACAGCCAGCCCATACTCACAGTGCACTCTGTCACCAGGTAAGTGTGTGGTGCTGTCCTCGTGCTAAGTCACAGCCGTGCTTCCAAAACTGCGGCATGGTGGTAACACCTCACTCGCTGCCTTCTGGTACAGCAGGATGGTGCTGTCAGATCCGCGCAGCCCTTTGCTAATATCACACCAGAAGCAATCACTGCTGTATAGAATGGCTCCCGTCTGCAATATTGTATTACTACATCAGTAGACTGCTAAACTCTTCTGTCAGGCTACAACACCGCACAATTATCACACCCGTGCACTGCCAAACTCCTACCGCATGGCACCAGTATCACATCTCTGCTCTGCCCTGGGATTGCGTTACCACACCACCGCATTGTCAGTGCCCTGCTCTCCAGGCACTGGGAGCTGCACGCACTGCATGTTAACCTGGTTATAAACTCCACAGCACAGTGCTTTCCTGCAACTGCCGCCTGAGCCAGCGTGCAAACATGTCATTAGACTGAGATGACATCCTGGCTTATACTTAATACTTCATTACACTACCCTACTTCTGTTAATTCATGTACCACTCATTTGCAAAATGGTAAAATATCCTGAAAGAGTATTATTGCTTAATTACATTACAGCATCACTGCACTAATATAGCATAAGCCTAATTAATAAAATATCACTGCATCCTGTATCCTGGCAGTATCTTAGCATTCTCCTGGAGTACACACCCACAGTGCACTATATTGCTGTGCTGGTTATATAAACACGGCGCTTCTGCCTTCACTCCGTCTTTTTTTCTGCACAGCTACAAATCTGTCTCCCTCAGACACAACCCTGTAGTCCCGAACTGCTCCTTTTTGCTGTTACTGCAACAATGACATCTCTGTGAAGCCATCACTGCAATCTTTTCCGCGTCTCTGGCTGTACCACTGTAGTGTCTGCATCTGCGACCACATCCCTGCACCGCCGTGGAACAGGGGGATGATGTTCCACATCTGGAGAGCTGGGACAAGATACACTGGTGCTGCTGGACCACAGTGCCCTGCTGCTGCAGATATGCATCACTATGCTCCTCTCCTATGTACTGCAAAATTGCTGTTTTAACTGTTTCACAGTGGGCTGTGTGGGCTGGAGAGAAGTTCTTGTATTAAATAAATTCTCTGCTGAGCTGTTGCTGTCTTCTAATTACAAGAGGGAGCAGACTGATCTTACAGCACCTGCAGCCTCACACTGCAACCCTGGACACTTCTGTGCCTATGATCCTGCCTCAGCCCAGGCTGCAGCTTGGGCTCCTGCAGGTGTAAGTCCTTGCCTGTCTTAAAGCTTCATGCATATTTTTACACATTTGTTTCTTCATTCACAGAAACAAAATTTATATAATTCCATTCCATGACAGATTTTCCATACATCATCTCCTTGGGCCTTTATTCACCCCAGGATTTTTATATCACTACAGAAGAAAAAAAAAAAAGTGCTTCATATACCTCTTCCTGTAACCAGCTCTTTATGTATCCTAAATTACAGTTCCACATCTTGTATCCACAAGTCCCCTGTATAGGGGGATCTACTAGAGCCCACTCCCAAAAGTCAGTCCTAAAATCTCCACTAAATGGTCATTCACTCATAGGTACTTCAAAGAAAGCAAGTGAGAGATTAATACAGAGAGAAATGGGAATAAATAACATTACACTCTAAAAGAAAGGTGCTGGTGTGTGTAAGCACTGGTGCAATGTACCCAGTGAAAAAATGAAAACTAGAATTGTATCTGTCTCACTTCTGTAAAGAGCACTGTTCAACACCACAGTTAAATTTTGCTAAGTTTACAGAAATGTCTTCTGACACTGGAATGCAAGCAGCAGAGCAGGTAAAATAAAGACACTGTTTAGGTAGAGGTTGAGTCCAAAACCAGAGTTTCTGTGAGTAGGAGCCCTGGCATGGATCTGTTTGTATGTCCGACACTTTGGGGACATACAGCTCCATAGACTTAAAATCTGTTCTCAGATACATCTTCACTTCCCTCGGAACTACAGACGCAGCACAAGTCAGAGCCGAGTCCATGGATTTCAAAGCCTGGTGCTGGAATATTGCTTTGTGTACCCTGGTTGAGCACCACTCTGCTGAGCAGGCTCTTCCTTATTGCTACTACAAGATTTTAATCGAGACTTCTGGTGCACCATTGGCACAGGGAGGGTAATACTCGTTCTGAGTTAAACACAACCATAACATTCATAAACAGCAGACTGTCAGGGAGGATGGATAACTGTTGAGGAGAACAGACGTGCTTTGATTTTTATCCGGAGAAGTCAAGATGAACCGAAGAAGACAATACTCCCAGGTTAAACATACGGGTGTATCACCTCCTTCCAACCAATTATAAAAAATTTTCTAGTTTTCTCCATAATCTCAGTTTGAGTGGGCTCCCTGCAAAGACTCCCAAACCTACATTAGAAAAAAAAAAAAAAAAGATAACAAACACCAGAAATCATAATTCTGGTTTATTTGATCACTTCGAGGGCTGGAACTTAGCCGCCCAGGCTACTGGCTTATACCCATAATTGTGCTTCTGGGAGATTGCAGTTACATTAATCTTCCTGGAGATTACATCTCCCAGTAGCATCCCTAAATGTCTCTAAAAGAAATTTCAAGCCAGTCTCCCTCTGCCTTTTCATTTTTAGAGGGTAACCCTGTTGGGTAATTTCACTACCAAAAGCAGCTAAAAGCAACAGCTTTGTACCAAAAGAGCTTGCAAACACCGAAAGCATCTGTTCCATCCTAACATAGTGACTGGGAAGGCTTCGGAATTGGGTCAGGATTTTTTTTTTTTTTGTCGTTCTCCCCACTACCTTCTCCTGACAGCTTCTGCCATAAGAAATGATTCATATGCTGATTGTACAGAAATGTACCATAAGGAGATGTAAACAAATACAGCAAAGCAAGGCTGGGAGCCAGAGAGATGGAATCTAATAAGTAAATAGATTTTTAAAATCCGCTTCTCTGACTCTCACCCTCGGCAGGCAGAGCCACAACTTCCCCCGGCGACCGGCAAAGCACCGGCGCTTCCCCCGTCAGCACCACCGAGAGCGCCCTCCACAGCACCCGGCGGGGCGGGCGGGCGCCGGGGGCTCCGACCCGCGCCCCGTCCCCGGCGCGGAGCCCTCCTCGGGGCCGGCCCCGCAGCGCCCCGGCCGTGCCGCAGCGCCGGGACAAGTTCGGCCGGGTCGGTCAGGAAGCAGTGCATTTACAGCTGCGGGCTGCGCCAGGGGGTGCGCAGGGCTCCGGGGCGAGGAGCCGAAGGTCCGTGAGCCGCAGGAGGAGGGGGGCGCGGAGGGAAGGCAGGGAGGGAGAGAGAGGGAGGGGTGGGGGGCGAGGGGCGCTTTGCCCCTTACCTGGCCAAAGACCGAGCTGAGCATGGGGTGCAGCTGCTGGATGAGGGGATCCGCTTCCTCCGACCGATCGCTGCCGCTGGACTTGGTGGAGCACTTGCTGCTGGATTTGGACAGAGGTGAAGCGCCTTCCGAGAGCTTCAGGGACTCTCTGCTGGACCTCTGCTTGTGACTGAAGAAAAAGTCCTCCTCTGCCTCCTCCCCATCCCTGTCTGAGAGCTGATGCTGGTCCTGGGGGTGACCGTGGCTGGCGTGCGGCGGGAGGTGGTGGTGCTGCCTGGATGTCCGCACCGGTTCCTTGCCACTGCCTCTCCTTGGACCTCCTTCCGCCGGCTCGGGCTGGCTCTCCCCCCGTCCATGTGACAGCTTCCCCGCGCCCCTCGCTCCGTCCTCCCGGGCGCCCGGGTGGCAGAGCGGCCTGCGGGCACTGGGCTCCCCGGGGAGCGGCTCCTGGCTCGGCTCCCTCCCCGTCTGCCCGCCTTGTCCTTTGCCGTCCCGGACGCGGCTGCCGCGGGGCTGGGGTTGGCCGCCCGCTGCCCGCCGGCTCCCCGCTGCCTTCAGCAGCGAAGTGCGGGACTCGCTCTTCGCCATGGAGGAGCCGCTCATCGCGGGGCCGCTAGAGCCGCATCCCCGGCCGGGCGGAGCGCTGCCGCTGCGGGCACGGCTGCGGCGCGCCGCTCACGGCATGTCCTGCGGAGACCCGCTTAAATCCCGCACCGCGGCCCATGTGACAGCGCAGACAAAGGCCGCGGCAGGGGCGCTCCGGCGGGGGCTGGCGGGCACCGTCCCCCTCCCCCCGCCGGGGCTCCCCCCGCGCCGCCGCCGCCTCTCCAGGTGAGCCGGGGCCTCCCCCCGCCGGGGCCGGCTGGGGCCGGGGCGCGCCGCAGGCGAAGCGGCGCCGCCGAGGGGTGCGGGCGGCGGCGGGCGGTGCTCCCGCAGCGCGGCGGGCGGGCAGGGCCCGGCGGCCCCGGGCACGGCGGGGAGGGAGCAGCGGGGCCGCAGCCCCCGGAGCGGCGGCGGGCGGGAGCCGCGGGACCATCGCCCCCGGCGGCGGCGCGGACGGGAGGTTGGGGGCGGTGTCCCGGGGGCGAGAGTGGGGGAGGCCTGACCCCGAGGCTCCCGCAGCTACAAGGGCAGGAGCTGAGTGCCTCCGAGGGCAGAGCCGGGGAGGCGAGCACCTGCCCCGCGAGGTGCCCCACCTGCCCCAGGTGTGCCCTTCGGCGGTTCCTCTGAGCCAGCAGCGGTGGCCAGCACGCTGTGGGGGTCGTGGCCCGCCCGACTGCCTCACCTGGACGCTCAGCCTACCGACACGGGACCGCGGTGACACTGGCCCTATAGGTCAGCACCTGTAGGTCTTACCACTATAACTGAAAGGATTCAAACTCTTGATGCAGATTTCCCAAAGTTCAGAAGAGGAGGTTGGGCACTCGGCCACTGCCTGCCTGACATAGCCCACAGGGGAAGTTTTGATCCAGCCTTTGAAACGGACACAGAGGCTTTGCTAGGGCACATCATAAAAGGATATAAATTTGAAAGAGCTGGTACCTAAAAGGCTGATTACTTAACATCTTTGTAGTCAAACAGAGGTAATTAAGTGGCACCAGGTGGTTCAATAACAATGTTCTGTTTAAAACCAGAAAAAGATAATGGCATCAAATCAGACATATGTTTCCAATGAGAAAAGGACCTGGTTGGTTCTTGCTCATCCTCAGACAGTGACTGTGCCTCACTGCCAGACTTGGATACCTCAGCAGTTTATCTACCCAGAAAGATGAAGGTGTGATTATCGCATAATAAGCTTACTCATGCTCGCTCTGCTCTTGCTGGCACATGCACAGCAGTTACTATGCAATGACAGTCTTCTCTGCAACAACCCAAGTGCAACTTCTCTTCAGCCTAGGGTCCCACTGCAGCCAGTGCTGCTGTGCCCCCACCACTACAGTCACGTGTGCTGGTCAGGGCAGAGCTGCCATGGAAAGAGAGTCATGCTGCGGCCCTGGCTCGGTGTGCTCCGTCCCCTCACCTGTGCTATCAGCACCAGATGCACAGCAATTCCTGCATAAGGTGCCCTCTATCCACCCTCAGGATGGCAGAGAGAAGGGGATGGCCCCTCTGCCCCTTCCCTGCTTTGGAGCTTGGCAGCAGCTGTCATGGTGGCTAAACGGGCTGTTAAAGGGGTTCATGGCAGGGACGTTTGTCAAGCACCAATTTTCCATTCAAACCTACAGTGTCATTTCAGCTCCTAATTATAGCCAAGGTACCTTTTGGGGTTATGTGGTGGGCTGTTTTTTATTTTAGAACAGGCTGCTCCTGTTTGATATTAGCAATGCAGAATCACTACTCATGGCTGGATGAAAATAAGCCCTGGCTTTCCCTACTATACCTGTTTGCTGGAGCCATGGCTCCTACATTGGTCCTTCTGCCAGGAAGCTCAGAGGTAGCAGGAGGCTGAAATGAACATTTCCCAATAGCTCTCTGTCTTGGGAAGTTAATTCCATCAGGATGTAACATTGCTTCTAGAGAAGCTGCCGTTTTTGGAGTTGCAGCTGGTGCTGACGAGGCATTGCTGTGAGCTGTGAGAAAGTCCACACAGATAAAATTCTTGTCTAGTCTGACTAACACTGCCCTCACCCTCCTTGGGGTCTTCTGAGCTGTTCCTGAGGACTGTATGTGACACTGCTGTCTACAGGTGGGTTGTAGCTCCATGCCTCAATCAACTGAGCACTGCAGAATTGGGAGCATATGCCTCATTAGTGAGAAGGGACTCACTAGTGCAGGTGTGATTCATCACTTTGGAGAGCACGTCAGGGATCAGGGCACGAATCGGCTTGACTAACAGAGGTAATAACGATGCAGGCAGGGGCCACGTTACAGAACCGAGCAACAGAACAGCAGCAGCAGCTGAAAAAACTGTGTAGTGGGACAGAGCGAGAGCACAAAGCAGAAACCTGGCTGTCCACAACACCTGTATCTGGGTTTCAGCTAGGAACAAATCCCGGCTGTCCAGAGAATCTGGATTATATCCTTCTCACAAATTCCTTTTGGAGGTTCTTCATGTATGTCTTTTTCTAGACAAATTAGTCTTGGGATCACAGTGGCTGCACAGCATCCACTGCATACTAAAGAGCTATTCTGGAGCCAAATGCCAGGGAACAACAGTGCCCGGCTGCAGAGAGAAGCACATAATTCCAGCTCGGCTGAGCAGCGAGATGTGCAGGGACATCTCTCCAGAGAGATCGTGGCTCCTCTTCCATCTGGCAGCACAAAAGAGGACAGGCCTGAATCCTCAAGACACAAAGATTATATTATGTAATGTGCACACTCGCTGCTTCCTGAGACAGAGCTGAGTTAAACTATCCGTGTGATTCAGTCCGAGGCCAAGCCAGAGAGGAGCTGCATTTCCCTCCCTGAACCTGGGGCATTCTGGAGCAAGTGAGTAGCCTGAGGCTGGCGGGGGAAGGTAGATCCAATTCCAGCGTGCAGTGACAAACACGGCACTGCCTGCAAGTGTAAAATCGTGGCTTTCCATAAGAGTGCTTATCAAAAAGCATGCCCACGAGCAAATGCATGAGCCTTTTGGGGGGAAGGGTTTGGTAAATTCTTTTTGGCTTCACTTGTGTAGAGGAAATTTCTGACAAAAATTTCTAACATATTGTATTTGGACAGGCATGTATCTCCTCCAGAGGAAGCAAAAGCACTGACAGCTGGAAATTCTGTTTGTTTGAAGACTTGGTATTCCTCTTCAAGTTTTACTCCACAGGAGAGGAATAATCCTGACAGTATTACAAAGGCATTATTGTTCCAGCTGTAATCCCTGTGCTCAAATCCACTCTGGTTACTTCCATCCTGATTGCAAACAGAGAACTTCCCTTTGTATTTGTCAGGATGTGGCAGACAGATTGAAAGTCACTGTTTTCTATGGTCAAATGGCATTGAAGGTGGAAAGACTGCAGTGTGATCCTGTAATAAGCCTACAGGAACGGGAAAGGAGAATGAAGGGCACTAGAACAAAAATAACAGACCATGAGAGAAATGGATGAATGACAGGAAAAACACAGTTGTGGAAAAGCCAGATGACAGACAGGTAAGGGGGAGAAGAAATGTGTAAGGACAAGGGTGAAGCTCCCTACACATTATAATGTCCATAGGCAGGACTGGCCAGAGGGCCAGGCTGTGCCCACAAAGCCAGCAGAGGGAGAAACAGGTAAGTGCAATCATCAGTGTGGAGGAAGGGAATTGTTTCCAAAAGGAAGTGACAAACTCTTTCACTGTGATGCTCTGTGAGGGCACAGACCTAGGCTTGACTCTACAGGTCCATGTTGTCGGCATGTGAGAGGCCAGTCAGAGCAGACAGGATGTCCCAACCCTTTCTTAGCTTATTAAACCAAATGACACGAAACAAGATGTAACAGAAACTCTGCTCGCAGTGGGACAGATAGGACTGAGCTCCCTCAGCTATCACATGTGGCCTAACTTTAGCCAGACTCCTATGAAGAGACCCAAGCTTCCCTACTCCAGGCGTGTAACAAAAGTAAATAATTTTCCTGGAATTACTCCTCACCCTGCCTCCTTCCCACACACCCTTTCTGAGTCTCAGTCTCAGTTCACACAGCTAAGAATGCAATTAATTAAGCTGATACAGCTGGCTCAGCTTTGCAGTTGTAGAGCCCACGGCTGGCAAATGTCACCTCTTTCATATCAGACATCCCTGTTGCCAAACTACGATCAACTTCACAGTCACATCTCTGTAGAAGGCACTGCTGTGCAAGTGGAGGTGAACCACAAGGCAGGCGGGAAGCACATTAAAGGGGAGGTCTGAGTACAGGTTCTAGGGAAAAAATCCCCAAACCTCTGAAAATCACTGAAGCAAAACTGATGTGGTTTTAACAGTGACAGTCGTCTTTCTCTCCATTTGTCACAGTCTTGAGGCATAAAATGAAAATGTGCCAAATATTAAATAGGAGAGGACTGCTCAATTGGTCAGCCTGTCTTTGGCTTACGTTGAGATCAGCAATTAATATACGAGGGAGAAAATTAAATCACTTCACAATTTTCCACTTTCAGATGACCTGAGCTCTCCTTAGTAAGAGCAAAGCTTTTCACAAGCCCATGCAGATGTTTTACGAGCACAATAAACTACGTATGTGATGGAGTCATCTCTTTCTGAAATGTGATCTGAACCACAGGATTATGGCTGCTTTTCAGAGAGACAGGTGGACTCTTCAGCTGCATTAAAAAGGATCCCTGATTATCAGGTAAAAAGCCTGCATTTTTTTTTTCTGACTGGGAACATTTAATCTTTGCCAGTTAAAAAAAAAAAAAAAAAAAGGATTATTTATCAACCGCCTAAAGAATTAGTTCAGGGAATGGAAGGGAAAGAGAGCAGCACTGAAGGCCAGATACTTGCAGTTTGGGTTGGAAGTGGTTTGGGGACAAGGCTGAATAAATTGTTATTGCTTGCTCATTGCCTGGCAGCCTGATCTCCAGCCAGTCTCCTGGCAAAGAAAACCTCTTGTATTTGTTTTGGGAGAGGGTTATTTTCCATTGGGAAGAGTATTAAGGTGTATCAAGATTATCATACATCAGCCCTCATATTTTATTCTGTCACTATTGATGCACCTGGGAAATCAGAATAAAAGTAGCTGCTGCTTTCATGCTTTGACCCTTTCACTGCCACCAGCTAAAATATGAGCTACTGTCATGAAGCAACTCAGTTATACAACATAAACTCAGTTATACAACAAACAGGCAAGAGTATGAAATAACTACAGTGAGCTGAAATTCATTTGGGATCAGCTGGAGTGAATCACTCATTATCTCCAGGGCAGTTTTTCTCTCTCCATAGAGCTGCTCTCTCTCAAATATTTTATTTAATGAACACTGATGCTGGTACATAACCAGCACAGTTCTGGTAGAACATAGCTCCAGGGAGAGACAGGGTTTGGCACGTATGGCTTGTAACCAGAAAGGAAGCTGTATGAGTTACAAAATGTGGTCAGGTTTCTATCAGCAACCAGTAGTCCTTTTCAGATGAAAAATTACAGCCCTGGGATGCCAGTGGGAGAAGGACACCTGGTTCAAGAAGCAGCTGAAGCAGCTCCTGTGCAAACATGCCCACCTCCCTGATGAGCCTACAGGCTCACGGGGAGAGAGGGGCAAGATGCTGCTACCGGTGCCACTGGCACGAGAAACTAAACCAAGGCACTGAGAATTCCTAATCTTGGAGATCTTATTAGTTTTCTTCCTAAGCATTTAATAAAAGACCTGATGTCCTGAGCAAAGTTACAGCTTAGGTAGCAGCACTGCCTAAATTACCCTTCAATTTCAGATTAAGTTGTTTGTCAGTTGTACAAATAAGGTAGTTCCAAAATGCTTTGTACACCTCGTTTCAAAGGGGTGTTATGCTTTGGTAGTGGATCTCAGAACATCTCATTTGTACAATTCTCAAGTTATATTGAATAACATAAATTTTTAGTGATTTCCAAGGAATCCTGGTAAACATCTAGCAAAGCATTTCTATTTCATATTTACTTCTATCATGTGCAGTGCAAAGATCAGCTTTGCCGTTTTTGGCAGGCAGCATACACTGGTGTGTGAGCAGGGAACTGCTGTGAAAGGTGAGTTAATGGCCACCCTGACTGCCTGTGGTTTTGTTTGAATCACAAATGATAACTCCTGACATCTTTCCCCCAGTGAAGAGTTCCTACAGGGACTTCAACTTTACTGCCCTACGCCTGAGTTCCTTCCATGTGAAGCACAGACAGTAACACCTGCTTCCCAAAGGGGTTCTCAGGTCTTTGGATTTAAGAACTTCTGTTCAGATGCAAAGGAGAAAGTGTTGTGGGCTTATAAAAATCGTTTAGCACAGCATGTACAGAAGCTGGAGGAATCAGAAATGTGCTCTGGATGTGATTTCTAAATGCAAATCGTGGACATGTGCTGTTATGTCCTCTGTCTTTTGGGGTGGGATTTCAGGAGATGTTTATATTTGCTGTCTGAAGCCCAAGTTCACATCTCTCCTTTATCTGCTTGTTAATAACACTGAACTGTATTAAAATTGTGTGTTTCCTGCATTAGTTGCCTGGGAAGGCTCTCAGTTTACACTTGGGTCTTTGTTCAGTCTGAACAATATGTGTCTGAGCTGAATCGATCCCCTGAAAAAATTCACCTTAAGGCAAGTCAGCATGAAGGTTCATATTCTAAACATGCCAGCTTGTTAGTTTGAAGGTTCACTCCTAGTCTTTACCAAAATATGTAAACACTGGGAAGAGCTGGCAACTGCCTGATATAGATGAATCAGTGTAAGAGGAAAAGGAATGATCATCAGCAATGAATTAAAATCTTAAGAACATATTTCAAAAAGGGTTATTATTAATTATGAAAAACACCTCTCCTTTCTTTCTTTCTTCCTTTCCAGTGACTTTCTGGGATATCCACCTAGAGGAAACCAGTAGTTCCCAGTTTCCAGGTGCTCTCATCTATTTACCCAGCTGACAAAAGCCTCATGCATAGTAAGATCTTATCAACAGTGGCACTTTATGAAATATCTTAATTACCTCAATTTCCTACAGCTTCTTTCACTTTCCAGATGATTTAGAGCTGCAAACAAGACTCCCAGAAGACAGTATAGAGACTGTGCTCATGACACCACTTAAATAAGAACATGACAGCAAGTCATTCTCTTTCTAATAATATCAAATATTTAAAAATATACATTGACTGAGCTTAGACGTTTGAAAGGTATTGTTAATTTCTAATGGGTTTGTGCATTAAAGGCATGAGGACTAATGACAGACTAGGCAGATCAAACAGAGGTTTTTCCTGACACTCCAGCTCTGAAGGACTCAAATGTGGATAAGACTGTTATGTAAGACAGGCTTTTGGATATCACTGAAGTGCTTTACAATTACGATTGAATATTAATAAAAGACTTAAACTGAAAACCTCCAGCTATTAGAAGGATTAGGACTTTGCAGTGGGCTAGGGGAATACATACAATGTCAAAGCCATTTTCTTGGCTGTGATCAAAGGCAGAAAAGGCTGTGGCAGAAACAGCATCTTGGAAGAAGGGGAACAGAGCTTCAGCATCACATAACAATATTAATTAACAATAACATTATTAACAATATAATATAACAGTAGTAGCAGTAATAATAATAGCAGCAACAACTCATGCAGAGATTGCAATACCTGGCAGCAAAAGAAAAAATCTAGGGGTGCAGCTAGAGACTCTCTGGCTAAGCAATGTGCCTTTGACAGCAGGTGTCCCTACACCAGGGGAAAAGCATCTGCTCATTTACTCCCCTGCGGCTGTCCTGGCTTTCCTGGGAAGAGCTGTGAGAACAGAACTCACACGGTGCTTTTGTCATTCAGTGACAATGTCAGCTCCTTACACCAGAGCACTGGCCAAGAGGAATTAGCACGGATCTTTACAGGGCTCAGTGCCACGCAAACAAACTGGGCTTTATTAGATTTATTTTCTGGAGATTGATTCTTTCTTTCCAAAAACAATCTCTCAAGGAAGTGCCATAAAGGGTATTTCCTTCGAGTGCCCGGGCTATTTCCCTGTGATGGGATTCCCATGGGAACAATTGCTCCGAAGGTTTCATTGTGCTCCACAGAAAGCTCAGTTTGTCATACGCTGCAATCAGGCAAACAGCATTGCTGCATTTTGAATATATTTCTTACTTACAAGGTCTCCTCCTCTTGGAAAAACCTGGGGACTCACCCCCCTTGCCAGTGTGCCATTCCCAGACCGTGCCTTCTACTGCAGGGACTGTGCCTGGAGTGTTTTGCCTCCCAAACCACAGCCCTGGCTGCTGTAACCGTACAGTTTCCCAGGCTCAGGAACATGAACAGGGCAAAAGCCGTCACTGGGTTAAGCAGAGACAGCTGGAAATGCGTCATTAATAAGGAATAACTTTGAAAGCAGTTTGGGTGCAGAGGGATTAAAGAGGGCCATATGGTATCAGGAATAAAAAGATGCCGAGGAGTGTAACTTCACTAGAAAAGAAGAAGCTACCAAGATGCCCAGAAGAGCTGAAAGTCTGGAAATACAGAAGGCAATTGGGAAAATATAAATTGCATGTGTATGTGCTAGAAACCTGTGTTTATCTAAAAGCCATGTATGCCAGTAAAAAGGAAGACAATCAAGTGCTTTATTTTCCTTAATACTCAATTTTGATGCATTTGAAATGTTTAAGAGGTTTCAGTCAATTCTGGCAGTGAAAACTTCTTAGGAATCCATATGTATTATGAGATATTGCACTTCACATAAAAATGAAATGTAAAGATTTTTTTTCCTTAGGCAAATATAAAAAAAAAAAAGAAGGAAAACGGACCTGAAGAAATGCATGTGCCTGGCTGATTCTTATCTTTTCAAAGATTACTAAGGGGTGACTCTCCTGAGATTTTTCAAGAAAATTCAGATTAAGTCTGTCCTCTTAATAGGGAATTGGTTTTCCCTCCAAATTTTCAAGGCTGGTGGAAGGTCAAAGAACCAACCTCTGGTAATCATCCAATCCAGAATTAAGTGCAAGTCAGATCTAAACACAATGAAAACACAAAATACACCATACAAGAGATTCTGAGAGAAAAAAAAAACCACATTTAGCTCAAAGATCAAATCATGGAGAATCCCATGTGCTCCGTGACAACCAGGATGGACCAAGAAAATATTTGGCACGTGGAAGAAGATGTGAGAAATGTCCTGGATCCGCTCTGTACATTTTGCAAGCAGCAGCAGAGCTTGCACGACCCGGACAATACCACTGCAGTGCCACCTCCAGTGAACTGTTCATGAGGGAAAGCTCAGTGTTGCAGTGGGAAATGAATACACTATCAGCTTGAAAGGAAATGAAACATTTATTAAATTGGACAATGGCACACGAGGACTATGCTAGACACAGTCTTGTGTGCAATTAAAAAAATAAAGCAACAGAGAGAGCAAGGGATAACCAGGTAAAATTCAAAGATTACACTGATAAGCTTGCCACCATTAAAGGATTATAGAGAGTAGATATATGAGTAAATGGGATCCTGACAAACAATTAAGGGTAGTGGCTGAGAGTATTGTTTACGGTGCCAAAGGCACAGCAAGTGCTAGACTTGAGCAAATGGCAGCACAGGCAGGGAGGTTGGTACAACACAGAGTGCTAAGGAAAGCTTGATGCTGGTTCTCCAGCTGAAAGACACCAGCCAGCTCTGTAAGACTTTCCAGTGAAGGAAAGGCTTATTGCTCTCAGAGTCACCAACTAAAAGAGACAACAAGTGACAGTTCAAACCCAACCCACTGCTTTCTCAGTGGCACTCACACTGTATTCCATCACTAGGAATAACTTCCAGTCTCCATTAACCTCACCCCAACAATGTGGTGGAAACCAGGATTAAAATAATTTATCATTTATTGGCAAATCCTGTCGATAAAACTGGTGCAGCATATGCTAACATGAATTTAATATCAGATAATTTGACCCACAGCAAGTAAATCCAACGGATATCCAGCTGGATTCACAACTCACGCCTTTGCAAAGGGAACACTGGTGACTTAGGAAAATGTTCAACCAAAATATTAATAAATATTATTAATACCACAGAAGCAATCCAAAACATTGGCTGAAATGAGAGTATTTAAAAAACGTATTTTCCAAATATTTGTCTACTTCCTTTCTGTGGTGGCAAGGGACAAGGCTAATTAATCAGCTACATTCGCAGTAAAATCTTCACATTTTCCAGCAGAAAGACAAGATAGAAATTTAAGGACTCCTTTTTTTAATCACAATTAATTCAACTTCTTATTGATCCTTTGCAAACTGTCAATTAGATTTATTTATTTTTTACAGTCTAAAGATATGTAAAAGGAGAGTTGCCTGTACCGCTGCTGTAACAATTAGCTGAAGCTTTGGTGGTATCTATTGCTTCATAAATTAGTGTTCTCTGCTACCAGACAGACTTTGCACCATTTTATTAATGAAGCTCCAAAGTTCATTAACACTTCAGTTTACTGGCCCTGGCTTGAAACCTTGAAGATTATTGATGAAGTTGAAATAAAAATACAATTACATGCACGAACATATTAACTAGATAAATAATTCCTGAAATGCTGTTACTGTATTTACAAATGAAACTTCAATGTATACTTTATGCATAATTTTGAGTATTTATAATGGAAGTTAATAGTCTCTGATGCAATAGTATTTCATATTAGTCTCTCATATTGGAATATAAGATATAATAATAATAGTCTCTCATATTAGAAAACCACACTAATAAAACAGGGCTTCTCACCTGTAGACAATTTATTTAACAATATAAAAAATGAGAATTGGAATACTTACACTGAAAAACCCTGAAGTTGGAGGGACTGGGGTTGTGAAATAATATAAAGAGACAGATAAAATGGAACAAATTCACAAGTTACACCCTGTAGTCCCCAGATCCACCAGCTTTACAAACATGACACAACACACATTTATGATGATCAATAGCTCTAAACAAATATTCCCAGGAGGCTGTGGACATGGCAGGTTGTCCTAGAAGACAGGCATATGCTGTAGAGGAACACAGAACACATTTCCAAGTTCAGGAACAAGATTTTTGCCTCGCCTGACAGAGTGACAGCTTGGGAGCTGTTATAATGAGTTGAAACAACTTAATCTAGATATGGTAGCACCAAGTGGGCTTAGCACACCCTAACAACAGTCTCATACATTGGGAAACATCATCAACTTTATGCTACAGTCTAAATCCTTCAGAGAGTGAGGATCTTTAGCATTTATTAGTTATAAGTCCTTATTAGAGCTGTGTATCATAGAACAATTGCTTTGTTAATTTGGATGATGATGCTGATCTGGCTTGGATAGAAGGGTGAGATATTGAGCATTTTAATAGTGTTTAGCCTCCCAGACACAAGAACTCTGTGGAAGAAGCCCAGCAGGGACACATGGTGGTTGAGCAGCTGAAATTCTGACTGATTACTGAACGTTATGCAAAGAAGAGCCCCTGCTCAGTTCCCAACAGTGATTTCTGCTGGCGGGAGAGACTGGAAATTGTAATAAAAAGCAATACTTGTCCATTACAATGGCAGTAGGGTGAATTGTACACATATTCAAACAAGATGTCAATGCTAAACACTGATTACCCAGACAATGCTTCAGTCACCAACCCCATCTCAGCCTGTGGTGGTGTCTCACTCCCAGCAAGAGCAGGGGAGTATCAAAGTTTTCCCACAGTTATTCCCCCCAGTCTAGTGCTATTCCTGGAAACACAGTATGGTCATATTATTTGAATCCCCACTTGCAGCAGAAACACTGATCTGGAACATTGCATCCTGTACCCCTTGGAACAGCAAATGTTTTACAGGTCCTCCTGTGACCCAGGAGCCAGGAGGACAGCATGGGGGAAATCATCAGCAAGAAAGCCCTAAATGAAGAAATGAAATAGGTCTCCCTTGGAGAGGAGGCTTATTGGAGTGTAACGAAAACAAGCCCCATCCCTCCTCCCCTGTGCACACATACACACACCCTGGAGGCTTTTGCAAAGCCACAGGAACGGAAATAATTTTGTTTGAATCCATCAAGCATTAAAATCCGTTCGCTGAGGGATTGAAGTGAAAAATGAGCCGGAGACAGGAATTAGAAGCTCACCGCCTGGGCTGTCAAAAGGGATTTTCCCCAGATAGAAAACAAGCAATTGGAAATGCAGGGAAGTAAATCCTTCCAGTCTCTGACATGTATGCACACTCTTGGTTTCCCTCCCAACCCTCTTGGTTCTGGGTTCACGAAGTCAGCCCTGGACAAATCTCCTTGTGTGCTCTCTGGTCATGTTGCCCATCCTTGGGATCCCCTTCCAGGAGTCTGCTCAGGACTCAGGCAAAGGGGAGGTGGTGAGACACCCAGGGCAGCCAGCTGTGCTTCCATACACTGTACTCATGGTGCCTGAGGTGCCAAAGGGATAAACCATCAGCTCTAAACCATTTTATCTACTGTGTAAAATTCGTTGAAGAAAGAGACAAGGAGCAAAGTTGACATTCAAGTTATAATCACTTATAAGTTACAAGCACATTTTAGTTTACCACTCAAAAAACTCCCAAACACTACACCTCATGTCCCTGAAATGTGGTCTCTTTCTCTCAAGACCGACACAAATATCTCTGCACCAGCTACATTTTGATGTTTCAGAGGTTTATTTGCAATCATAAAAGCCAGATGTCTATTCTTCCCAAATCCAAACAGAGATTCAGGAAAATTATGTGGCAGATAGGAAGAGTTTGGGATGCTGCACAGAGGCAACCTCCAGCCCAGATTATGAGATATGTGCTGGACTTGAAGAAATAAATTATCATTGCAGCACTGGTTTATGCAGGGTAGACCTCCCCTTTAGCTGGTTGCCAAAACTGAAGGCAAGAATTGTTTATGGTACTGCTTCTGTATGAAGACAATAAACACAACCCACTGTAAATAGGCCAATAAAGCTCTGGGTCCATAGCACAGGGATGTAGGACAGCCAAAAGAGAGACCCTCAAAGAAACCTACAGATCTACCCAATGGCCTTAACACTGAGTGTTTCCACTCATCAAACTGTGCTCCAGTCGCACCCTGCTGAGCCGATTGTCAACTGAATGAAGAAGGGAGAGGAAGAAAGAGGTAAAGAGAAGGAAAGAGAAGATGAAGGGCCAGATATGCAGCATTTAAGCTATGGAAAGAAGCAACAGTGATGAGAGCCAAGGAGCCATCTAACCACAGCCCAGCTCCAGACACACAAATCTGTTTAAGAATAGGACAGAGGTAGGCCAAGAACAAGGTAAGCATTCATGCCACAGGATCCCTGGTGCCTTGAGGCTTTGAATTCAAAAGCCAGTTGAGAAAACAGACTTAAAGAAGTTGAATTTAACAGAAAAGTTAATAACTTTTATGTGTGCTAATATGCTTCAAGATAAAGTCTACAGTTACTTGGATACAAAGACGTGTGTTTGTAGTAAATATTTTCTTTAACACATGCTGTCCTCTACTGTTGTGTAAAACACTTTCCTATTGTACTGTGACTCTCTCTGGTAATAATACTACCACTTAGGTGGTGTTTCATTGCTGTAGACCACACTGTGCTTAATGCAGGGGGTGTCATTATCTCTGTTTCACATGTGGAGTCGTGGAAGC